CCTCGAGAAGATTCTTTCCCTTCTCGGCTTTTCTTCTTTCTCTTCGTTTCACTCAGGCGCGAGTGAATTCAATTTTGAATCAGTAAAGAAAAAAAAAACAGGAAAGACGAGATCTTAATCGTAGAAAAAGAAATTCGACCTTTCTAAGCTATACAGATCAGATCGGCACTTCGAGTTTGACATGCAACTGTCATGCGTGTGGGGGGAGTAGGGACACAATGACGCGGCATCAACAATGGATTTGGACGTTCGGAGTAGAATCAATCTTATGCACCTGATGCTCGCGAAGCGCACTTATCGGGGGATCGAATATCCCGGGGAAATGACCCCTGCAATAGCCCGCACTTCCATTTTCACTTTCGGCCATGTAGCAAGATGATCGAGCGCCATTTGCTAGCTGTAGTGATTTGGTTTTTAGGAAAAGACATATCCAATTAAATATTTAATGTCTCATCGTCAAGCTGGGTATACATTCAATTTGTCCAATATTCCGTTCAACGTGCTCGTAGGCAAATTATTTTAAGTACTCCATGCACATCGGTACTAAAATTTTGGTTACTTATACTACTTCGTCGAAAGAATATTTAAAGGCCCACTCAGCTCCATCATGACGATTCTGTACTAAATTATGGATATATACGTTTTTCTCGTTGCGAATATTCCATGCGAGCACTATAAAATTAGTAAAATTATTTTTCGACGAATTATTTTATCTTTCCTCAGATAAGGTAAGTTATACAGAAGATACTCAAAATACTTTTACCAGAAACTATTTCAAACTGCTGTAAAATGTAGAATCTAAGAACAACAGATGTTTTTCATTGAATTTTTTTTTACATTGCGTGTACATTCTGTGGATTTTGTTGATAATAGGTTGAGGTAAAAAATGTTAAGTCATTGCGGTTAGTTGTGTTTTATCGTAGTAAATAAGTTTTCGAACAAGTATTTTCGTCAAATTGGCTCAAGTTAAGCTTGAGAAGCAGCTTAGTATGCTAAAAAAAAGTTTCATAAGAAACCCAGCTTGAAATACAACATGACAATGCGTAAGTTTGTGCAGCATGATTATGTGTTTCATAAGTAAAAAGTATAATATGCAAATTGCAGAATAACAATGAGTTTGCATGATGCTCAAGAAAATTATGCACACACACACACACACACACACACACACACACACACACACACACACACACACACAAACATACACAAGTGCGCGCGCGCGTACACACACCTCGATTATCCCTTATCATAGCTTGACAATCACCCTGAACGCAAGTGAAATGATATACGCGCGTACGTTGTTGTAGACTTAGAGCCTTGAGCGCGGGGTTTACGCAACGAATTTCCAATCCGAAAATTTATATCAAACAAACGGCCCTTATGTTTATCCGGTTGGCAAAGTCTCGCGGATATGAATTCGCGTCGACTTTCCGTCCGTCACCCCTCGCATTTCGCACTCGCGGTCACTTTTTGCGGCGCCGAACGAGCGAATCCAGCCGTGCGAGCGTTCGACGCGTCGTTTTTCGAAGTTTTAATTATCGAAGCTCTTGAAGCGCCACTTCGACGAGGGAGATGGTGTCTCGCGGTATAATTCCAAGTTTAATTTAAACTCAACGAAGAAAATTGATCGCCCTGCGGAATAACTCGAAACCTAACTTCCGTAACTTATTTACTTCGCTCGGTCTCTCTCTCTCTCTCTCTCTCTCTCTCTCTCTCGCTTGTGCGCGTGCTCTCCTAATCGCGTTTAATATTAACGCAGTAAATAACCGTGTTCTCCCGAGCTCGATCATGCTCATATCATTATACTAGTAATCTCCATGCAAGCTGAACGTCTTACTGCTTTGCGGAGTCTTAATATTCAACAGTAATTCAATATAATCGGTTTACAGCACCAAGTTCCTATTGTCCTCCTCCTGCCTTGAGAAAGAGTTATGAAAAGTGAAGCCTCTGAAAAGGTTGAGCATTTTGCAACTTAATTGGCTTACTTGTGCGATGCCAGAAGTGAGCGCGACGATCCGAATTAACTGTAATTTAATTTCAGAAATTTTATGGTCTAGTGGATGATTTTCTTTCGAAAAATAATGAACCACTTGCGTCCGGTCGTCTTCGACAAAGAATTACCATTTCGCTACTCAGTACGCAATATTATATTTGTCAACAAGTTTAAAGGCATAAATAAATTTAAAAAGAAAATGAAGTGACACAATGATAATAACGATAGTACCCGTGTCTACCAATTTTCGTTGAACGGGAACTAACCGAATAGGGATGATTTATGTGCATCAGGAACAGTTGAACGTAAGAATGTATTCTTATCAGCAGTCTATTCGAATCTCAAGTTCTTCGACAATCGACCGAAGACTCACTCGGGTAAGGGGGCGTTCATCGTCAAATCACCAGCGAAAGTGATGACAAAACGAAGCGAAATTTCAGGTCGCACAGAGCGCAACGGATTGCGATCAGCGAAGCGCGGACGCCGCGGCGAAATGAACTTGTGATGCAATTACGTCCATTTAAAAGCGTTTTAAATGTCGAGCCAACATTGTTGCGGAGTCTCTTATCAAAGGGGCGTTTTCCGAACAATAGGACGAGCGCCAAGTTATATAGCGGCCATTGTCCGACAGGGCAGATAGTGTCGGAGGCGTTGAAAAACGACGGGTTTCGTATCTCGCCGCGCTCCCGGCGCGACTTTCATAATTATAATACGCCGCGCGCGCTTCTGCGATATGATATATTTCCGTCGCGGGCGAGACCGTACCGGGACTTTAATCGATGTTCTTCGTTTCCCTTCCATTTTGTTCCGCCTATCCTGTATCGGGAGTCCAGGTAACGGACGATCAGCGAAAATTTGCGATCTCAGCCAACTTATCCCACTTCTCATGCTGCAAATCCGCCTTGGATTCACTCAGGGTGCAATTTTACTCTCCGGGCTTGCGAGATGACTTTGGCGAGTTTCCATCGTCACCATTGACAGTTTCACTTTTCCCTTAATCGACATTTTTTCTTCTTCGATAATTAAAAAGTGAACGAACGTCCAGATACGCCTGACCTTTCGGACATCTGAAATTCATTTTAGAATGCATTCAAACGAAACACCTTCTTTCCCTTGTCCTCGGAGCCGGAGTTCCAAGCAGATTTTCCAAAAGGATAAAGTTGTGGCAATTATTGTTCCGAAGACTAATGGAATACACGAAGCCGCGGCACGGTACATAGAGGAAAGCTTACAACTCAAACACGATCGAGCTATACACACGGCGAGGAGGAGACAAACGGGTTCTCGTGAGCCGTTGGAGAGTTTCCCGCGTATATACATACGCAACAATGTGTGTACGTGTGCGCGCGCGGCAAAAGCCAAGAGGCTAAGTGCTCTGCAAGCACAACCACAAGAGCGAGGGAGAACTTCTGTAGTCTCTTGTTTCCGAGAGCTTGCTTGCCGACTTTTCTTTCTCTTTTCGACCGGTCGATTCATCGTTACGACATTGCTCGATTTGCTCCTGCTCCATCAGACCCCCCCCTCCGCCCACTTCGCTGACAGTTTGTCTGATTTGTCAGGGCTGGCATTTCTCTTGGCTGACATCACGCCGTTCGGAATTATTTTCAGCTAACGTCTTTTCAATACTTCCATTTTCCGAGAGTAAAAATTTTATTATGGTATTTTAACAGAAGAAAAAATCATTCGCAACTGTATACAGACGCACACACCCCACACGCACGTCGTTTCCAGCTCTTATCCGTTCGTCACGCGTCGCGCATAAAAACGCGTCTCGTAATTTTCCAACACATTCGCGCGCGAAAAATCTAACTCCACTACCTGCGGGGGAAAATAAAAATGTCAGCGTTTTACATCAAAAATGTCATTTTTGGTTTGCCTTTGGTTGGTCAACGAAATTTCCCGCGTTCCGCTCTTGCGCGAAGTTATCGTCGTCAGAATGTGTGTGCGCCTAAAGCCCTTTGCTGCGTTTCAATTAACTCGACGTCGACTTACCTCAATAATCGTCAGAGGCTACGAGAAATTTCATTAGGCGTAGTGCACGCAGTTTACCTACAGGCAAAGGCACTCTATACATACAGATACACTGCGGTTGTCCGAAACCAACAACAAAGTCAAAACTTACACCAACGTTGACCACAGAGTTTCCAATCTTTTCGATGTTGTTTATCAGATTCTCGCATTGTTCGCTTTATTTTATTTATACTACCAGTGAAAATGCAACCCGATCTTAGAAAAAAAACAATAGGAGTGTGTACAATTTATTCGTGAAAATATTTTGAAAATGTATTATCATTCTTCGCTCTTTACATAGGCATTGTTTTGTCTTTGAGTACATTGCAAAACTCAACCTGCGTAACGTAAGCCACGGGCAATCAAGTCACGCGCAAGTGTTTCGTACAGAATGTAAATTGTCTATCAAAAAAAAATTATCGGTCAATTTTTACACCGGTACCTCGCTTTTCTCATTTTATCTCAAAAAAAAATGCATAAAATAATCACTCGGTCCGGAAAAAACATCAATGTCTGTCACAATAATCCAACGCATACGACATTGACAGTTCTCGATAATTGTCGGGCTGGTATACAACGAGGAAACGCATTAATATTATAATGCCGATATAGACACGGATTTGCATACGACGCTTCATTAAAAGCATTTGCGCCCGCGTGCATTGCTACATTAGAAGCCTATTAATGTCAGGCGCTGCGTGGCGTTAATCCGAAAAACCGGCATTGACTAATGCATGCGTCCGTGCATGCAATTCACGTGTGCAAAAATAGAACAAACTATATGTTCGTATGTGTTAATGCGTGTACCTTCGTCATTGTTTACGCTAATTTGCGGTTATTTAATTGCTCGACTGCATCGACACACATTCCGCGCGACTGCGTGTCGCTCTAGTGGAAATTAATCGATGCGCGCGTTTTCGTCAATGTATACGTATAGAGGTATCTTTCTTTCCGCGAATCGCTCACCAATGTCAGTATTACAAATAAATATACTTACATATGTGATATAGTACTAAATTGTCGATATCGTTGGAATTGACATGGGCATTTTTGCCGGAAGGTACGATATCCTGAAAAACCTTATTGATGGGCGCGAACACCGTCACGCTCCTGTGCATCAGCGTCGCATTGGCGATGGGGTTGCTCTCCAGTCGAACCCAAAACTACAAAAAAAAGGCAAATTCCATTAGGCTAATTGGCTTTGCAAGGGCCGTTAATTATCAAGTTTGTAATTAGCTCCGGAAAGATGATCCATGTCGGAAGGGGGGGGGGGAGATAAAAAACCGGAAGGTGGTGGATTATGGGCTCTGAGTGGGCGAAGGCTTCTTGTGTATTATCCCGAAGATCAAAGGGTCTTCCGTGTTCCCTATACTTTTATTATTCTCTGTGAGCTGTCGTTAACAACTGTTCAAGTGCCTCGGATGTAATTGCTTCTTAATGAAGCGATTTGAATTTGTTCTGACAGAAAAAAAAAAGTCTCATTTCCCATGGCGAATTTTCATATCGAGCGGAAGAAAAACAGCAAGAAAGCCAATTCAAATTAATTATTTCATTGTACTCTACCCTCCCTCCTTTGGTCTTTCAATTATCGCGGTAAAAATTAAAATTTTGCTCGGATGAGAAGACGATGTCTGACGAAAAATAGAGCATCGAAGGTCGTTACTCTTCGCAAAGAGTTTAATAATGAATTGGCCGCGGCAGCTGTTGGAATTGACTTTCTTTTTTTTTTTTCGACATTCCGCGCAGAATTAAATAAATCCTATATGCCTGCGAGTGTTTGGCCATGGGCGTCGTTGACTTACACTTTCCACCCTCGGCATATCCACACTCGATTAGCTTTCGGGACGAGGCCGTTTCCATCCATTGGCGCACGTTGGGGATTTGAATGGCAGTCAATCTCAACGAAATTGGGCTTTTAACGCAGGCGACAGATTCCATGCCGTATAAAATTATACGTGCAGTTGGCAGAAAATCAATTGGCAACGCGTGCTTCGTAAAAAATTCGCTGTACAAGTGCCACGGGCGGAAGTAATGAGCGTCTCGTGTACAGTACACGTCGAAGAAGGTCCGTCGCGATACGAGTAAGACCGAATACGAAGATGGGGCAACAGGACTTTCCTCCGTAATTTATCGTCGCGATCCGCGGTACACGGAAGAAAAACAGATAATAAAACGAGCGAACGCTCGGTGTGTGATACGAAAATTGGCCGCGACGGTCGGAAAGAAGAAAAAGTTAACGCACGCGCGTACGAAGCCGCCTATTAAAATACTCTTCACCTCCATCCCCTCGTTATCTTCCAATTTTCTCGTGCGAGAGAAGAAGAGGGAAAACTCGCAAGATTTATTAATACGCTTATACCGTGGGATTTCGCATTGAGGGCTATAGCCAAATAACTCCTCCTCGGCACCGCTTACGAGGATATTATTTTGCTTCTAGGTGCACCGTTAAATAACCCCTACCCCTCTCATTCTGTTATTTTTACGCTTTCATGGATTCCCTTTGCGCATATTTTCGCCAATTTCAACGAGTTCTCGTAGACAGATTATACCTCATTATTTTTCGTAGAGTTCAACTAAAACAAGTAACCAGCTGCGCTTAATATTTCTTTAGTGGCGCTCGAATACTCCGTCTCTCGAAGCTTGAAGCGCATAAATTTACTGTATCAAAGAGATGGGAATATTGCGAAATAATTGGCTGCTTTCATCGATTCTTCTGTTTCACCTTCGCCGTCGAAACAACAGAAGCGTGCTCGCTAATTAATTTGTCTATTGAAATAGACAGTGCGGAACGGCAAAATAACGGCGGTACCATACCTCGTCAGAAGGCCAATTCTTGATAGGTGCCCCCAGGTAAATTTGCTTATCTCTACTACGCTAAAGAATCATTGATAACAATGGCAAGCCTTCGAATACATTTTATAAAGCCATTGTCATTTGCCTTGTTCTGTCCTCTGCGAATCGATGAAGTACTTTGTTTCTCAGTTTTTGTGAAAATGCAAGCAATTTCTTAGTAGTAATTTGAAACCCATTAAAAAAAAAAGAGTTCGATAATCAACAATATCCAACTATGTCGCACCATAGTTCAATCGTAAACGGAGCGAACGAGTAAAAGATCCGAGTGTGGAGATAAAAAAAATCCAAGAAAATCGCGCTCGTTACACGTCATGCCTTTCATCGGTTCCGATGTGTGTGTGTGCGCGCGCGCGCGCGTGTGTGTGTGTGCGCGCACGCCTCATAATCGAAAACTTGGTCGAGCGCAGTCTCGGGCTGTAAAAATAAAGGAATCGACAGGTCGATTTACGGTTGGTGTGGCCTCGTGCTGCTTTCCTATCGCGCGTCGAAACAAAGATTTCAGCGACGAGGTGAGGCTTTACGAGCCGAATTCGACGCGCGGAATTTACGGGCTGATCGTAAAATCCGCGATACACCACGCGCGTGTGTTCTGCCCTTTCCTCTTTTTTTTTTTTTTTTTTTTGCGAGTTCACTTTGTTGGATGAAAGGATACGCGCCAAGAAGATTTTTCCCTTCTTTTATTCGAATCGCTTGCGATGCCGTGGAAGTTGAGCGGTTTTTGATAGCTACCAGTTGGAATTCCAGTCGATAGAAAGGTTTTGTGGAATTTTAAATTGACCAGTTACATTAAGGGCTTCTTTTCGAATTCAATTGGATTCTTTTTCTGTTTTTTTGTTCAAAGCTTTTGCTGTATTGTATACTAACGATGTAAAGCGGAATGACGTTAGCGACGTTATGACAGATAACAGCAGGATGACATGGTGAATTGCATTGTTGGTAGGACACGCGGCTTCTATCTCGCTCTGACAAATTACATCGTAATGGAGTGACGCCGATTGAAGACGCAAAGTAAACTAGAGCTGAGACGCGCAGAGAAAAGTGCTGCGCGTAATTCTTTCGGACAATCGCACAATCTACCCTAAGAATTTCGAAACGCGGGCTTCCAACAACTCAAGCGTCGTCTCTCGAAGTGAAAGCACTTCGCGAAAAGAAAAAAAGAAAGAGCCCTCGTTAGCCGGACGCTCATTTCGGCGAAAAACAACGTAACACATGCACGTCAGCCAGCGCGCGCGCCGAGAAAGCAATAATGCGGTTGCATAATTTCAGGAGGGAGCGCGCCAGGAGAGGCGGAGGGCTTACGAAAATTACTCGGCTCTCGCGCGGACTAAGTCGATTTTCTCCTCGTTGCCCTCCCTTCGCCTGCGTACGGCGGCGTGTCCGAAGGAGTTCGCGTGCCGTGTGCTTACGAGCGAACCCTCAGAATTTCCGGGGGAACATTAGGGAAGAAACCTATAGCGTCGTGTCGACGTGTTGTGTGACGATGATTCGCGAGGAATTCGTTGTGAATCGAGCTCATCTAGTAAGGATTATGAGCAAAATGCGTTACTTTTCTTTTTTTTATTAACGATGAATGGGAGTCCATTATTAAGCCTACAAAATGAGCCTTGAAATAAACCATCATATTTTAAATCAACCGTCTTACATTCAGGTAGACAAAGGAAAATGGATCCGATAAGGTTTATTTGAAAGAAGCTGTTCATGCGTATGCGAATAATGAGTACAGCACATTGCATTTCACATATTTCAATATTGCATTGTTAATGTTAATTTAAGAATTATGTTCGATTTGAGCGCTGTCGTGGTGCACTAGGTATCTGTATGCATTTGTCTCGATTCCTCATAGTCATAAGAAGCATATAACCAATCTCCCCACCGCTTTTTGGAAAGATACCGGGCAATAATTTTTACACGCATCATGATTGGATCGACACCTTAAAGTAGAATCGGAATTATCAAGAGTCACGATAATCAATAATAGAAAATGTCACTGCCGAAAATTTGCACGTGTCTTGCGCAGATTGGGACAAACGATCCACCGTCACTCCCCGTGCATTTATGAATGAACATTAATTTTCAAATATGAATCCAAACTTAATTTTTTTCATTTTGATAACTGGAGCAAATGAGTTAATTAAAAAGCATTTCTTTGCGATGTCTTCTCGTGGTTCATTTTTGGTACAGTTACACTCGAACGAAGTCAATACTCGGCGCGGCGAGATCGGCTTATTTAGACGCTGAAAAATTTTGAATGACGGATCGAATGGTTCGTCGCAGTCGTACGTTTGGATATGTTAGACGAGCTTAAACAGCAGATATTTTTTCCAACTGCAAACAGTATCTGCAAAGTCGATATCACGTTCGGAGATGACGCACATCTACGGAGCTTTGATTGTTCGATACTGAGAACATAACGTCACAGCGGCGCACCGTCGTGGCTCACGCCACTTGGAATTCCGATGACGTACACTGAGTCCAGCTGCCTTAGCTGGCGAGAGGAATACAAGGATGATTTTTCTCTCGGCCGGTCACGAACGTGTTTCCGTTCTGTTGCTCGCGCGCAACGAACGTTTGCCCGGCCACATGCACGCGCGAGAGGGAAATCCTAATTTCGCGCTTCGACGTGAACGATGATAAGAGCGTTCGCACTCGCTGCGAGTGTGTCTTATTCGCGCATATATATGCTCGCGCGAGTCGAGACGCGCCTCAATTTACGAGCCTGATGCATGCCGCATCTCCGCTGGGTTTTCGTCGTGTCAACGTCGCTCGGGCTTGATTGGAATTGTCTGATTGTTACGCTATAGATTCGCAACCGATCGAAATTATTATACCCGCGCGGGGCCGCACTCTGTGCGCGGAATTTTGCCGATCGCCTTTCCCCGTAACTGCGCTGCAATTTTTCTTTTTCAGATCTCGTAGATTTGCCCTTTTCATTGCGTTTAGGCCACTACACTTCATTATCGATAAATTGCTCTCGTAGGTTTCCACCAGTGATGGTCTAGTTTCATACGGCGCCCAAGTAATGAAAAAAAAAATGAGTTAATGGAAATGAGTTTACACAGCGAAATTCTGTGTTACACAATAGATAAAATAACAGAACACGGGAGAGGGGAAGCCGTAAAAGATGCCGCGGAAAATTTATGACAAAAGTTTTTCCTTGGCAAAAATTCTTCCGTCTATTTTTCACCTGGGCAAACTTTTCCTTTGAAAGGGACAGCTGATATGAAAAAAAAAATCGAGCTCTCCCTCAGGCTACACTCGTCTGTCACCCAGTAATTTTCAGCGCATAATTTTTCTCGACGCACATCCGTAT